CAGCACAATACACATTGCAATACCCACTTGACCCGACAGCCGCCCCCTGCCGTTTCTCTTCACTCTGGTGCGAACGCGCCTTCTGCCTGCAGTCTTTCCTCTCTCCTGCCGTCCCCCCCAAGGCTGCCCCATGGTGCACAGCGCTCTCCCCTAGCAAACATGGTTCGTTTGAGGCCCTCACTTCTCCCTGCCTTCTCACACTTTTATACATATATAAAAAAGAAGGAAGTGCATTTTTTAAATTTTGCCATCTCCTCTTGATACTACCTCACATTTTTCTATCTTGATTAGAACTTTAAACTAATATTAATTTTGCTTTTTTCTTTGTTTGAAGCCTTTTGTATGACATCTTACAGTCCAGGAAGAAAATGGAAATGTAGACAAAATTTCAACTCAAAAGTTCTTTGTTCTTTTTTTTTAATCTGTGAAACATTTCCCATGTTCTCTTAATGGGATCAAGATGGGATTTGGTGGGTTAAATTATGAAACCAAGAGAGACTGAGTTGAAAGACTAATTGTATTGTGGGTGGATGAAAGGATGGCATTTATCTCTTCAGTGAGTGAAAAGGGAATAAAGTTTTTCTTAATAAGGTGCTGTGTAGCACTTCCCCCATCTCAGCCAGCATGTGCGAAAGCTGGAAGAGACTTCTGTGCATGTGCAGAAGCCTCTTCTGATGCTTTCATAGTTGACTGGAAATCTCTTCCAGCTATTGCTAAATACTAGTAAGACAAATGAAGTAAAATAAAGTTCCCAACTCACTTTACTCTTAGATGGGAGAGACTTATTTTGCTTCACAAAGGAACTTTGAGTCACCTTGTGTGAAATGGGCAGCTATATAAATATGATAAATAAATAAAATAAACTTTGCTTTATTGAAGCAAAGCACACCCTTGCAGTTCTTGACAACTTGATTGCCTCAACACTTTTTCAGACTTCAAAGGGATAGGTATTACTGTGGATTCCTGCTGCAAAGGGGAAAGCCATAAGCAATCATAAATTAAATATTTCATCAAACTACTAGAAGAAATAGGAATTATAGCTTTTCACTTCTATCAAAACCACAATATTGAGATTTCACACTAAGGTTTACCATTAGTACTAGACTATGAACAATCCCTAATTTGCCTGACAAAAGTGGCATAAAAATACTTGCACATACATAGATACATACATACATCATGTTCCAATATCAGATTCATCCAGGTTGGCCAGGTTTGATGCAAACATCCCATCAAGGGTTCCATTCTAGAAAAAAATGGTTTGTCCTTTCAGGCACTGTCCCCCCCCGCCCCCCCATTTCTGAATAACTCAGTTCATACACTGATCAAGAACTCTAACTAAAATGGTCTTACATAACTGCAGGTATGAGGAAAGAGGAGCAGGGAGGCCTGGTAGTTAGGTGAAAAGCTATTAAATGCCAAAACAAGGCTGAATTCTTAGATTGTGATGACAAAATTAAATGGTTCCATGAAAACATAACAGCTGCCCTTTTTAAAATTTGAAGCGATAGCTTGTTTGGTTTGGATTGTGCACATTGTGCCCAAGTGTGAGACCTGCTAGTCATTCTTGTCTGTACCAGCATTCGTCTTTTTCCCCTCAAGCCAGCAGCCATAACGTGTAAAAAATCTCTCATGCTTTAACACTCACTATCTCAGAGAAGCAAAGTCAGATGATCATTAGTGGGTGGGAATCAGACAGGTGCTTATCAGCCATTTCAAGCTGATGATGGCAGGTCCCCTTCCTTCAGGTCCTTGGTTAGCCTTGTCTGCCATTAGGCTGGAATTTAGTGCTGAGACAGCTTTGGTCACACTTGTAGATGACCTGTGGCTGAGCCGGGATGGAGGTGGTGCAGCCATCCTTGTGCTCCTTGATCTCTCAGTGGCTTTCAATGCTGTCAGTCATGGTATCCTTCTGGCTCAGCTCCGTGGGTTAGGGACTGGGAGCACCATTTTATGGTGGTTCTCTTCGTTTCTCCAGGGCCAGTTCCAGTCAATGTTGGTTGTGGGGTGGAGATCACTCCCTAGGTCTCTCCTTTGTGGAGAGCTGCAGGATTCCACTCTCTCTCCCCTCCTTTTCAACATCTACCTAAACTGCTGGGTGAGGTCATCTACCAGTCTGGGGTTCAGTATCATCAGTATGCTGATGAGACCCAGTTATATGTTTTAACCCTGAGCCAGCTGAATGAGGCTGGCAAGATTCTGTCCCACTGCCTGGAGGCTATGTGGTTTGGATGGAGAAGAGCTGTGAGACTAGACTGAAGCTGCCATAACTAAAGATGAAGCAGGCACATAAGCAGAGAGGACAAAAAGCCAAGAATCTTGTCTAAAGGATCCATTCGGGGAGGTAGATAAGAAGAAAATAAGTTTTCTCAGAGACACTCTTGTTTTGTGTCCCTGACAAAAGCTGGCAAAACCCATGACCAGAAGTCGTAGTTTTCTTCAGGAAAGTTGTTTTGAATCATAAGTCCCCAGATGATGGAGCTTGGAGAGGCAGCCAAACTCAGGAACACATTTATTTTCTTTTTCTTTTTCTTTCCTTTTTTGTCTCTTCTTCTCAAGATCAGGGTAAGCAACCTGATGCCTTTCAGATGTTTTGAACTTCTGCTTCTAACAGTCATACTCAAAATGGCTAACAGAAAGGGATTGTGGGGACTGTATTACAAAACATATAGTAGGCGCAATGTTTTGATGAGACAAAGACTCAGGAGCCAACAAACTCCCTAAATGCAGCATAATTTATGATAGCTTTATCAAGCAGATAGAAGTTAAGAGCAGGTTCCAATATGTCATTCAATAGGGCTTGATCTTATCTTACTTATATTTTCTGACATACTTTCCTTCATAATTAAGCTTCTATGTTCACTTTCTTGCACATATTCATCAACTCAGTTGATGAGAGCCTGTTCAGTGTAGTGGTTAAGGTGTTGGCCTAGAAACCAGGAGACTGGGAGTTCTAGTTGTGGCTTAGGCATGAAAGCCAGATGGGTGACTTTGGGCCAGTCACTCTCCCTCAGCCCAATTCACCTCAAAGGGTTGTTGTTGTGGGGAAAATAGGAGGAGGAAGGAGTATTGGTATGTTTGCCACCTTGAGTTGTATATGAAAAAAAAAGGTGGGATAAAAATCTAAAAAAAAAAAACCGGAGGAAGGAGTATTGGTATGTTTGCCACCTTGAGTTGTATATGAAAAAAAAAGGTGGGATAAAAATCTAAAAAAAAAAAACCTCCATAAGATCACCTTCATTCATAATTTTTAAATCTTTTCTTTTGGTTTCACAGACACACACAATTTACACACACACCCCTACCTTCCATTTTATTCATTAATTCATACTCTTCTTTGATTTGCCAATCTTGCATTTGAAGTTGCTGTCTTTCATATGCCACAATAGGACCATAGATAGGCTTATTTTGTCTATCATAGTTTTGGACAACTGAGTCTTTTACTTAAGATGGATAAGGTGTAGATTAGATTACCAGGCTTAGTCACACCAGTATCAGTTTTAGCACATTTTGGCTACCATACCACCAGTGCAGCCAAAGCCCAGTTTTACCTTGAGCATGTTCATGCTGTTCTATGCAAACCAGATCCTAATATAGAGATAGCTTTGCAGGCCAACATACTCTTGCTTGCATCCCACCAACTAGGAGGTATCTACAGCACAGAGACACACACTCATAATAAGACCTAAGGCATGAATAAATGAAAGGCCAGCCACAAATGTTAAGGCAGTTGGTAGGGTGAATCTTATTCTCATATTTATTTACATATATATATATATATATATATATATATA